ACTAGAAAGAGTGCAGAGAAAAGCAACAAAGGTGATTAGGGGACTGGAGGCTAAAACGTATAAAGAACGGTTGCTGAAATTGGGTAACTTTTATTTAATGAGAAGAAGGACTAGGGGTGACATGATATCAGTATTCCAATATCTCAGGGGCTGCCACAAAGAAGAGGGAGTCAAGTTATTCTCCAAAGCACCAGAAGGCAGGACAAGAAGTAATGAGTGGAAACTAATCAAGGAGAGAAGCAATTTAAAACTGAAGAGAAATTTTCTCACAGTTAGAATAATTAATCAGTGGAAGGGCTCATCTCCAGAAGTTCTGGGTGCTCCAACACTGGAACTTTTTAAGAAGAGATTGGGCAACCATTTGTCTGAAATAGTATAGGGTTTCCTGCCTAAGCAGGGGGTTGAACTAGAAGACCTTCAAGATCAAAACTCTGTTATTCTATTCTAGCCACAGAAGAGTAATTTTGGGTATTTTTCCTCAACACTCATGAAAGTCTTACTTCTTCAGGTTTGCAGCTGTGGAAAAATAGAATGAATGAAAGAAGTAGAATATGTTGCTTGCAGTGAGTTTAAATTGTTCCTGCAGCATGCAGTCCATAAGTCATCCCCAGAAATATATAGAAATACATATATTCCATCATCTAATATTTTAAGAACTGGAAAGAAAAGAAAGCAATTACAATAAATGGCCTTGTTTTCCCACATTGCTACCTACTGGGCAGCTCCTTAAAGGAGAATCCATATACATTAAAAAATTAAGCTCTGAAGAACCTCAGAAGTAATTATGTGTGTCAAAATGTTAAAATACACCTTAATTTCTGTTTCTCCTCCCAATTTATCAATCTGTATTGAGAAAGAAAGCCATATGTTCAACAAATAATCATGCATACTTTTAACGATAGCTGTTCATATTGGATGAATTAATAGGAATTAATTAAGATCCTTATTTATCTGTAACGCAAAAGAGGAGAAAGCATACAGGTACTTCTCACTTATCAACTGCCTCATTTAATGACTGTTCAAAATAATAATGTTAAAAAAAGCTTTGCAACCAATATTTGCATTTATGAACATAGCAGCACCCTGTAGTCGTGATTATCATTTGTGTATTTCACTACTTGTGGCAAACAGAGTTAATAGAGAAGGTAGAAGTAAAATTGTAAGTCCATGTGGTGTATCATTTAATGACAATTATGCTTTGCTTAATGACTGAAGGGATAGTGTGGTTGTAAGTCCATCACAGTTATGTGATTTTTGTTTAACAATCTGAGTGCTTAGCAATGAAGTTCCATTCAAAAGTGTGGTTGTTAAGCAAGGATACTGGGACATCAAAGTACTTTAGACTGCAAAGGATAAACAAAAAGAATCTTATGTGGAAACAAGAAGTCAGGTTTGGTAGCTTATTTATTGTATTTTTAAAGATTTATATCCTACCTTTTCTCCACCAGCTCAAGGCTGCCTACTAGGCCATTCTCTTCAGTTTATTCCAATAACAATCCGGTAGGAATAAGATGTACTTTTGGGTTGCTGTGGGAATAAACTGAACTGGGAAAGCATTAATGGACCCAAATTCTTCTGTATTCCAAAATAGCTTTTAGGACATCCTAAATTACAGTATATGCTCCAATAGCTTGCAGACTATCTTGGAAATGCCCCTATTCTGTTAGTTGCTTCAGGATTCTGTTCTTTTAAACCATGTTTTCTTTATATCAGGTTGAATGTATACTTAACTCCTTCCTTGAATTTTCTGTTTGTCAAAGAAGAGCCAAGGTGGCGCAGTGGTTAAATGCAGCACTGCAGGCTACTTCAGCTGACTGCAGTTCTGTAGTTCGGCTGTTCAAATCTCACCGGCTCAGTGTTGATTCACCCTTCCATCCTTCCGAGGTGGGTAAAATGAGGAGCCGGATTGTTGGGAGCAATATGCTGACTCTGTAAACCACTTAGAGAGGGCTGAAAGCCCTATGAAGCAGTATATAAGTCTAACTGCTATTAACCATTCCTTGACAAAATTCTTAATTTTTCAAACTAAATCTGCATTCAGGGTACGATTGTACCGTATTTCCCTTGTTTCACCTTCTTGTCCTAGGTTTAACCTTACCAGACAGCTCCAATATAATTAAACTGGCTTTCTCATTACCTATCTGATTACCTTATTTTTTTCTTCTAATAAATACAGTATTCAGTTGTTGCTTTTATATTTTTGTTTTTGCCTCCTAAACTATTTTATTACCTTCAAAATCTATTCAAATTTATTGTGGATAAATCAGAGTAAATTACAGTATTGACCAATCATGATCAGAAATGAAAATCTGAAATTATTGCAGAATAAATATGGTTTCTCATGGTTACTGAATTCAAAAAAACATTTATACCTTCTTCTTTGCTCCTTAAGCTACTACAGAGTTTGGAATACAAAGGAAAAAGGAATTAAAACAGACTAACAATGTTAAATCATTATTTCCCTTTGTAGTAATGTAAGTTTGGATCCAAATTAGAATAGTTTACTGTAAAATATGGCTTCAATTGAATGGAAATAAGTAGCTCAGGGTTGAATGAGGAATCCTTGGTGTTCTCTGAGCTTGGTTGGAGGTATTTTATTACCCAACTAGGTAACCTCATCAGTGCTAGTGATTGTGGATTTGCTGCCTGCTTACATACAGTAGCTTGCCTGTAGGAATCTGCTTTTCTATTTTATAATTCCTGATTAGGCTATTGTTTTTTGCTTGTTTGTCTAGTATTATTCCTTGCTTATCTGTATGTTGGTTGTTGGAGATAATGTGTTCTGGTTTTTTGTTTCCTTCTTAGCTTTGTTGTTGTCTCTTTTGAATGGTGTATAAATGTGGTTTATCTCTATGTGTTTATTGATATCTGATTTGTCTGAATGTTAAGCTTTCAGGCATTCCTTACGGTTTTGGGGTTTAGTTTGGTATAGTACATCCAGTTTCCCAAATGACACTATAGTTGAATCTGTCCATGTGTTGTGAGGTTAAGCAATTTAATTGTGTCTTCCAGCTGTTATTTGGTTTTATGGATGCATTCTTATTATTCTTGTGCCCGTCTGTTCTACATGGTGGTTGTTATAGTCACTGTTACCTCTTACATGTATGTTGTAGATGACTTATTTTTTCTTCTTCTTGCGCTACTGGGCCATTTAATTTACTAAAGGTATTTAGGAGGATATTAATTGCTCTGTGTGCTATGACAATGCCATGTGGTTGTAAGTCTGTTGATTGTTTCTGAGGTGTTTTTGATGTATGGTACTGTTATTCTTTTTATAGCTTTTTGGTTGCGCTGTAGGGCTTGAGCGGCTAGGCAGCTTTTTCATAAAGTTATATGGGTGTTCATTTTGTTGGAAGATGTTGTATAGGTGGTTATTTTCCTTTTTCTGGGGTTCTGGGTGGTTGCAGTGCATTTTTACTGGCTTGAATAATGTTCTTACACAGTTTCTGTATGTTGTGGGAAGATGGGGGATATATAACACATAGTTTCACGCAAATATCTTAGTTGATCTAAACACCATTCTAAAGTTTATTGTGCCTTCAAACAATTGGAAGAACATGATTCATATGGGTTAGCGTGCAGATATTGATTTTTTTCTTTTTAAAATGGTTTAATATAAACAGTTGGGAGACAGATGCAAATATTGACAGAATCTGTCATCAAGATAATGGATGCCACAAAACAAAACTTACCATGTTTTGGATAGCTCTGCCTCGTATTAATTTCTGTAGTATAATTATAGCCAATTCTCTCTCTTCATCTATCTTTAAAAGAAAACAAAAGCATTGGGAAATATGGCAATAAGCTAAACCATCTGTTTTCAAGGATTATGTCTGGTCTGATTCTGGATAAATTAGTTGGTACATTTCACTAAGAGATTTGCCCATATTCTTACTGGCATAGATAAGAAGAGAAACAATTAGTGTGTCCAAGTGAAGGTGGGGAGTACAAACAATAACTACATAAAGAAAAGTAATAACATTAAGAGTAATAAGCTAAAGAAGCAGATCTGGTTGCTCAGTGCTCATTGTGTTAAAGAATTACTTCCTTTTTCTTCTCTCCTCAGTCTAGGATAGAGAAAACAAAGCATATTTTTCAATTTTTTTTTCTAATTGGAAAAGTATTATCGATTTCTTAAAATGCTTGGTTTTGCTTTCTTTTAGTTGCAAAATTTCCAAAGAAAAGAATGAAAAAAGTATTTTATGTTCCAATAAATCAGAGAAGAACTGAGTGACTTTTCCCTGGTCCCTGTTTCTTATTTCTCCAAAATAAGCAGTCAGTTTCCAAAAGTGAACAGATAAGGGCAAGTAATTCATGTTCATTTTTTTCCTGACTGATCAGAATTAAATCACCTTTTCTGTTATCTTCTTACATTTCTCACATGAGAACATTCTCTGCAATTGCCACTTCTCCTTTTTCTTAAACTTGTTGTATCAATTTGTCTCTCTATATTTCCAAACTAGGGAACTGTTCATTGAAGGCTAAGATTTTTGTGTTAGCTTTTAGACTGCTAACTGCTTTAGATCTCTCTTAGTTTAAAGTATTGAATATCAATTGATTATTTGAATGCTTGTAAATCATTACCCTCAAATATTATTTAATAATTTTGATTGATTTTTAATTAAAGTTTTATTTGTGGATTTCAAAAATGTATGATTGTTGAATAAACTACAGGGTGTTATCCCAACAATTTGTTACTGTGCAAAAATGTTAATAAAGGAGTTGCAGGCTTTCTATCACCAATAAACATATTTGTTAGATTGCAATAATGAAGAACTATTAGAGCAGTGGGATGCACTAGAGGCCAGAGAAGATTCTCTCAGATCCAGTTATTAAGAGATCTTGTTAAACTAAAATTCATAAGGAGTGAAGCTTCTGTTTGGGCTTTAATTTGCATTTGGTAGCTAAAATTACCACACAAGCTAAATCCTGCCTTAGTCATGAAAGCCAGCTGAGTGACTTTGGGCCAGACATTCTCTCTCAGCCCAATGCACCTCACAAGATTGTTGTTGTGAGGAAAATAGGAAGAGGAAAGTGTGTTGGATATGTTTGCTGCCTTGAGTTATCTGTAGAAATGATAAAGATGTGCAAATAAATAATAAACAATTAGCCAAATAGTGACTGCTAACAATACAAAAGATAAACTTAAAATTGTCTTTAGGAAGTACATATTGGAATTAAAATTAAAGGAGAATCAGAGTAATAAGAAATGTAACAGTGAGCAGTGATCTGAATAGAGAAAATTCAACACTAAAGGAGATTAGGAAGGAAAAGAGGCAGCAGTAAAAGAAGCATAAATATAACAAAGTAAACTAGATTTCATTCAGAAGACCACTGATTTTGGGATTCTGTTATCTGACTCTTGGTGGGCTGCGACTCCCCTTTGGACCAACCCAGCTTTTTTAGTTTGAACATCCTCTCATCCTGACATGAGAACTGGCTTTCTTCCTCCTAATTACTACTGCCATCTTGTGATTGTGACCTTGCTTTGTACTTGTACTTCTATTCCCCCACCTCCACCCCACTTCATCTGTGCTACTGGTTTTTATCCTTCCTTGTAAGTCTGAATTTATATCTGATGTAAAACCTGATGATGATCTCATCTACCGTATTTTTCAGAGTAAGACGTACCAAGGTTTTGAAGAGGCAATTTTTTAAAAAAAAGTTTTTGCACTCTGCAGATCTCCCAAAAATGGCCCATTCCCCCCCCCAAAAAGGGCATGAATAGCCTTTAGGAGGTTTGTGGAGTGCTCCTGGGGGGTGGACCCCCCCATAAACTAGCAAAAAATGTCCTGTTTTTTGCAAAAACAGGCCCATTTTTTAATGAAAAAAAGGGCATGCATAGCCTTTAGGAGATTTATAGACTGCTCCTGGGGGCCCGTTTTTCACTCATTTCTGCTCTCCCCAGCCCCCAGGAGCACTCTACAAGGCTCCTAAAGATTATGTGTGGCCATTTTGGTGAAGGGGCGGGTTTTTGGGAGGCAAAAAATGCTGTATTCAGTGTATAAATGCACCCAGATTTTCAGCCTCTTTTTTTGAGGGAAAAAGATGCCTCTTATACTCCAAAAATATGGTATGTTCTTCTAACCTGTAACCATGTGCAGTAATAGGTTCTACCGGTTTTTAGAACTAAGCCAAGCTTCTACAATCAACACTAAACCTACTAGTGATGGTGTTTCCAGTTCTGGAGTGGGTGGGTGAGGCACAATCTTTGCTAATTTCTGAAGAAAACGTAGTGGCTTGCGTGGCTGTTTAATATGATATTTCCTGTCTTGCAGTATCTGGAAAAGTTGTATAATATAAAAAATCAGTCTATTTAATTGACCCCAACATTGTTTTCTTATATATTATGTTCACAGTAAATAAAATTATTCATACATTTTACTATATTTATAGAAAATTTCTGATACTTGAAATTTCCTATATTTTACAATCTAATAAAAAGGAATTTTGAGGAGCGAACCTGGAGAAAATATAACATTCTTTCCCATTTTAAAGGACTGTATGAAATAGAAATGAAAGCAGGATGAGAGAAGACAATATAACTCTGAAATTAGCAACAAATAACAATTTGGCATGTTTTGGATCTGTAATTTTTCTTCACTTCTTCTACAAGTAACATTCCCCCAAACCAAAAAGACTACTTATATTGTAGATGCCATGCACCATAACTTGAAATGGCAGTGGCAGGAAATAAAATACCTGGTAAACCTGTGCTAATTCCATCTCTAGTCTAGCAGACCGCTTAGTGAATCCATCTTTTGTGGTTAAGCTTCTGGGTTTTGGAGCTTCAGTTCGGGGCTGTGTAACGGAATCAGGAAGAAATGCTTCTAGTTCAAGTAATCCTAAGAAAAATAGAAGATGAACATAGAGACTAGAAGGTATGTTTTAATATTGATACAGGAGAACTAACCTCTTTTGTCCAAGATGGCTCCTTCATAAATGGAATTTTTGTCATCTATAAGAGTATTTCTATTTCTTTCAATGGAGAAAAACATACCTTCCAAAAGTACTAGTGCACAGGATGCATATAAATCTAACTCTAACACTGGCAGATCTATGTGGGACACAGTGATCCTGGAATGAATGAATGAATGAATGAATGAATGAATGAATGAATGAATGAATGAATGAATGAATAAATTTGAACATGACTCACCTTCATAGGTGTTGAGAAAGGAATTCTTCACTACATAACGATCTGCATTATTATCTGGAAAGTAGCCAATCCTTGATAATGGAGCATAAGGCTGTGATTCAAATTCAGTGTAGTCCTTAATTACATTTCTTTTCTCTAATTTTCCCTCTACATTTTTCCCCTTGGCTATTAATCTTCTGATTGCTGTAAATAAATTGAGACAAAATAACACCAGTTTTAAATATACCAGTTGACCTCTTCATTTCCTTGAAGACTAGGATTTGGCTACTATTATTTCCATTTGCTAAGAATGGGATACTGAAATATCCTTGCATTTTTGTTAGCAGTTTCTCAGAGCAGAAATGTAGTGAATATAAACAGACAATTACAAACACGGTCAACTGCAATGAATTCATGAATTACTGTAAAGGTGCATTCCTAGCCATGCTGTGTTGCATCAATTTTATGAAGCTTGAATCAAGTCACGCTGGTCAAGTGGACAGCTCTAACCAATTATTGTCCTTTTAGACCTTTAGGTATTATCTATGCCAGACCTCTATACTGGAAGTTATTACACTAATTTAATGCTGAGAATAATGAAGCTGGCTTTAAAGATAAGCATTATGTCATGTACCTCCACATATAGCATTTGTAGACATCAAGATTCTTTGACTTTTTGCCAATGAAAAATTACCTTGGCATCCAGTTTCTATAGATTCAATATTATTATCAGAAATTAGGGATTTTGTGGATAATAATCAGGAATTATTCAACAATCAATATTGTGATTGGTCTTAGATCCTTTATGTAGAAGCAATCTCATTTTGTTTTGGAAGATTCATTGGTTTTGTAGGTGCTCAGGCTCTTTTCAATTACATAGTAATAGTATGAAAACTAACAAAGGAAAAGAGAATATGCTTGCAAATAGGGTTGTTACTACCAGAGATGAACGCATGCCCACTCTCAATGATGTGGTTTTTTCTCTCTTTCTGTTTCTCAACAAGCCTTCTTGTCAGCGTTCCAAATGTCATGCAGAATTAAATCAGAGTCCAAGGCAGAGCTATCCTTAAAAGTTCCAATTTAATAAGACAAACATGTTGGCACATCTGTGGAAATCCCAAACTTAAAGCTTCCTGGGATTCCACCCAGTTAAAAGTTCATGATCTTATCCCCACACCCATAAATCCATCACATGGTCCAATCTTCTTCAGCCACGCTGGCATTTCCACCCATCTAGTTCTGGTCAGATGCAGAGGTGTGGAGACAAAATATGACCTTGGGCTTCTAGAAAGGAATGACAATAACACATTCCACAATTCTACTCCTTTCTATTCCCCCTTCCAATTACTACACTAATGAAACAGCATAATGAAATAATAGAGAGTTTGGCAGGCCAAAGATCCTAAAAAAGGAATATGATTGCAGGTCTGACACTTCTATTGCTAGGAATTTCAGCATTCTTGAGAATATATTTATTATCTAATGATTTGCTTTATACCTTTTATGTGTTCATGTTGAATCTTTTTCACTTTCTTTTCTTTTTGTTGCATAAGTTTAAACCAGTGTTCATCTAAGCAACTGACATTTAATTCATTGTGCTTCTCTTCTCGTTTCATCAGCAAGGCCTTTAGAAGGTTTAGTCTCACTTCTTGAAGTCTTCAAAAAAGCAAATATATGTCCATTTATTATAAATATAAATATTATTATATGCCTTATCTGTAAAAAGGAATGATCATGTTCTTTATGTAGAAGATATAAAGTAGATTATCAAGAGAACTTTATATGAAATTCTCCTAAAATCTGGAATTGGAAATAGTGTATAAGAAATTAATAATAACATAATTTAGATGTCTACAACAAATGGCTAGAGTACTGTATAGCACCAATCATGCATTGCCAAAAATGTTTACCGAGACTGCAGAACCCAAAGGCAGATCCCTAAATATCTGACAGGATAATGCACCATTAGTAGACTGCATATATAGCTTAACATGAATTTCTCTTATGCTAAGTGTGTAATCCTATAAATTTTTATATTGCAATATAACATACAATCTCAACAGTGAATATTGTACATAAAAAGAGGACTTTCTATAATCATTATTGGTTTTGATTTTGATTGACTCATGTTTGCTAAGCAAATTCATTTTCAGGCCTATAAACACTATCAAACTTATTTCTGTTTCCAGTAACGAAGAGAAAAAACCAGTGTATTAGTTAAGATATGGGGCTAGAAATCATAAGATTATGAGTTTTAGTCCCACTTTAGCTGGATAACCTTGGACCTGCTCTCAGCCACTAGGGAGGAAGCAAGGGCAAACGATTTCTGAAACGCCCCAACTGGGAAACTGACAAAAATGTATTTGAAGGCACATGCACACAGCCAGTAGAAATAGTTACTTTGTGGTTTTTAGTTGCTGAAATTTATATTTAACAATGGGAGCTTTAAAAAAGCAAAGGCTTGTGTACCTCCCAAAATCCTTACAGAATGCTCTTGTTGTAAATTAGCACCGTATTCTACAACGAGGCCTTGGATAACATTTAAACTGCATTTAAATGCATCCTGTCTTTCTTTTAAGTGTTTAGCTTGAAGAATTTTAAGAAATCCACAAGCTTACACATATTGTAAGTATTGCCTCTTCAATGTTTTCTTTCAATTATATATTAGTGCTTCAGTTTAGCAGAATACATCAGGCCATCATAAATCCATGAAACCAAATATATAGCATGATGACCATGTACATAATTTGAACTCAGTGATGGTTTATGGCTAAGAAGTATTCAGATAACACATAGTTCCCATTATCAAGTCTGCCAAGGATAAGGATAAGAACACAGGAAGATAAAAATTACCTACTCTTCTATTTCTTCTTCCCGAAAGGCCCACTCTTTTCTCTCCATTTCCTCCATCATTTTCCTCCGTTTTGCAATGTGTGCAGCATCATTCAGTGGTGGAAGAGTGGCCTCCCAGGCTCGTTTCTCCCGGGCTCTTTCAATTACTTCCACTTCTGCCTGAGTTGCTGGAAGGCCATGACCTTGAAAGAACAGGAAACAATAAACAGAAAGAAGGCTCAAAATATAGTACCGTGAAGCATAAGAGCCAAAATATTATTTTAAATTCTAGTGTAATGCAAAATTCTAAAGCTAAAATTACCCCTTGAAGTATTGAAAAATAAATGATTAGGTCGTTTTAAGCCATCACATCCAATCACTTCCTCATTGCTGGAATCCATAGTAAAGCATCCACCCATTCCTGTCAAACCCTTCTTACTGTTACTAAGCTTTTCATAATATGAAAACTGGAATCTATCTTCTTATAATACAAAACCCTTGTTTTATTCCTCATACATGTTTGAAAAGTGTCATATCCCTTTTCCAGTGTTTTATCTTAAAATTTAAACAAATCAACTTCCTTAGATTCGCTTGGTAATTTTTATATTTTGCTGATCCCTTTTGTTAGGTGTATGTGTGTGTGTGTGTGTGTGTATGTGTATGTATGTATGTATGTATGTATGTATGTATGTATGTATGTGTATATATATATATATATA